GTCTAATCTAAGAATAAATGTGTACCATTAAACCATTCTTAATGAGCCCATTACTGCCATTAGAGCTTGCCCACGCGGCCAGCCCTGACTCGAGGTCAAAGATGTGTGTACCTGAAGAAGCTCTCTTCGTCTTCATCACTCACATCACTTCGTTTCTGTTGATTGACTCTTCTATAGATACGGCCATTCCAAGTTCCTGGTACGGTCATCTGTCATCTGTTCTTCAACAACCTCCCCCTACCCCCACCCCCACCCTCTGCAAATTCCCACACAGGTCGGTTTCTTCTTTCCCCCACTCTCAACTCTCTGCAAATCCTGTCAGTTTTTTGCGCCACTCTTTTCTGTTCTTTTCTTTTTTAATAAAAAAAGATCTCGTTTTTCCCCTTTGGTCTGCAAATTTGTTCAGATAGATTGTCCTTTTTGTTGACTTTTGACGCATTCAAACTGGCCATGCGTTTTCCATGAACTTATCTTCCTCTGTTGTTGTTTTACGCTGTACCAAAGTTTCAGAGGGCGGGTTGAAATCCATGGGCAGCCCACCCGAACTGCTCATTCTTTTTCCTCCCTTTGACAACCTTATCTGAACATGGACGCGGTTTATCGGGTATGGGTCACTGTTTCATCGTATTTGCAACCTCTGTTAGTCCTCGTCGCTTCGTTCCTTTCCAGGTATACTCAAATCAACTCCAGTTTTGTTTCTTTAATATTCCGAATTCCAGTTTTTTTGGTAAAAGTTTGATCTTTTTATGTTTTGGTTATGTAGGCTGCGGAAGGGTGTTTCTTATTCTTCGGAGAAAAGCTTGGGGTTCTCAGAAACCCCGACTGAGTCTGTTCTTCTTGGCGGCTATGAAACGGAGACGGATTCAGTGCGGATATCTGAAGAAGAAATAAATGACGAGAAGGAAAACACTGATTATGGTTTCACTTTCAGATTTCCCACCTACCAGGAATTTATTAATGGCAAGAAAGAGACTGGTGTTGATTCTAAGAACCAAGAGTTTGATAAGGGTTCTACAGGTCCAATTACTGAACAATTAGATATTGATTCTAAGGGCGTGTGCTTAGATGGAGATGAAGACACTGTTTCATTAAACAGGGTGTTGGAGGAAAATCATTTTCAAGGAGAAACTGTTTCTAATAAGAGCAAAGTTGAGATTTATGACAGTGGTGTTTGGAAAGAAGAGAAAACTGAAGAATTTGTTAAACCAGAGGACCAATCGTGTAGTGATGATCTTGATTTTTCCAGTGAGATTCTGATTCAATTTGAGGAGAAGAAATCCTTAAACAGGGTGTTGGATGAAAATCAGTTTCAAGCAGAAAGTGTTTCTAATAAGAGCAAAGTTGACATTTTTTACAGTGGTGTGTGGAAAGAAGAGAAAACTGAAGAATTTGTAAAACCAGAGGACCAATTGTGTAGTGATGATCTTGATTTTTCCAGTGAGATTCTGATTCAATTTCGGGAAAAGATCTCCATAAACAGGGTGTTGGATGAAAATCAGTTTCAAGGAGAAACTGTTTCTAATAAGAGCAAAGTTGAGATTGCTGACAGTGGTGTGTGGATAGAAGAGAAAACTGAAGAATTTGTTAATACAGAGGACCAATTGTGTAGTGATGATCTTGATTTTTCTAGTGAGATTCTGATTCAACCTGAGGAAAAGAAATCCATAGAAGAGAAGAGTTGTTGTACTGATGATGCAGATGAGAAAGATTTACACAATGAAGGAAGCTTCTTCTGGTCTGATGAAGATTTTGGAGGAGACATTGAGCTTGATGATAGTGCTCTATTGGAGGAAGATGCTTTTAAAGGGGTCAAACAAGGAAATAGTGGAATCCTAAATTTGGAATCCGGGTTTTTATCTGAGAATGATTTTGAAGAAGACGAAGAATCTGAATTGGAGTCATGGGAACATGAAGATTTGCTTGAACAGTTAAAGATGGAACTTAAAAAGATGAGAGGCACAAGGTTGCCAACCATCTATGAAGATTCAGCATCTCCCAAAATGGATGAACTTAAACCATGGAAGATCAATGACAGAATACAACGCGAAGAAAGCATATTAGATGAACTGATGAAGTTCTACAAAATCTACAAAGAGAGAATGCGCAAATTTGATATCTTCACAAACCAAAAGCTATTTACATTAGGTATTCCACTTCATTCTTTTGATGCGTTCTGATGACTCCTTTTCAACAAAGAAAAGGTGTTTTAGAGTAAAGATAGTGTTTTTAATTGTAAAATCATTTGCCAAGAAAATGGCAGAAAAAGAGGGAAAACGATTCTAAAATTGGTATTGGTCTTCTTCGTAAGAGTGCATGTTGGATTATAATGAATACGTACGTGTTCATTAGAGCAAGAATAGTACTTTTAAGGCCTTACCTATAAAAAAAAAAGATGCATTCACCAAGAATATGGCTGTAAAAGTAGGATAAAAGTTTTTAGCATTTGAAAAATACTTTTAGTGCTTCTATAAGTTAGAAATGTATCGATGGTTTTAACAACAAGCATTTTAAGCCTTGAAAAACATTTTTCTGTAGTACTTATACAGATATACCATAACTTCGGAAATTATCCCATTATCCCAATTACGGTTCTAACAGCCCCTACCCATACCCATATTACGCAGTTAATCAATCTTTTTTATTTATTATTGTTGATAATAGTCAATCATGACTAACTCTAGCGCCATTCACATACAGGTTTTCTGCAGAAAGAGCCTTTAAAAGATCCATTTCAATTGCTTTCAACCCACAAATATTCAACCCCGCCACCACTCTTGAAGAGTATCTGGCCATTCAAACAAAAAAACAGTAACATTGATGATCCAGTGCTGAAGTTTGTAAAGGATTTGCAGTGTGAACTGGAAGTGGTATATGTTGGGCAGATGTGTCTTTCCTGGGAGTTCCTACACTGGCAATATGGGAAGATCATTGACTTGTGGGAAACTGACCTATCTGGATCCCACCAGTATAACGAGGCTGCTGAAGAGTTTCAACAGTTCCAGGTGCTCTTGCAAAGGTACATAGAGGATGAACGATTTCACGGGCGGAGAGTCCAATGTTATATCAAGAGCAGATGTGACTTCCGAAATTTTTTGCAAGTTCCTGTTATACGAGGTAATAAGGGATAGGATTCGTGATTAGACTAGCACAACCCATGCCTTTGTTTTACTTAGACTTGGCAGTTGTTTTAAAGGTGGGAATTGTGTGGTTAATTTGCTTAGAGTTGAAACAAACAATATCATCTAAAGAATCATTTCCTTTAAAAGAAAGTGAAGATAAATTTGGGATAGACGAATATGAAAGAATGAAGAGTAGTTTGGGATAGAGTGAGTCTGTTTTTCTTTAATTCTTTGGTGGGGGACTTTTAACACTTCCTGAAGTGGACAACTGAAAACATTTTGACTGACCGGTTAGTTAATTGCAATTGGACTCCCCTGAGTTTGAAGCTCAAATATAGTGATACCACGTTGAAGATTTTTTTTGTTGGGCTTCTTCCGTGCAGAAGACAATTTGAAGGAGATGAAGAAGGGGGGAAAGTTTGAAAAGGGTGACTTTGTAATTACAAGTGATGATCTAGTGGAGATTGTGGAAGAGTGCATACGAATCTTTTGGCGGTTTGTAAAAGCTGACTCTTCCATCGTACATGGGAAGTGTCACCCCGAGATTGAGAATGCAGAAGATCATGATCTGTTAATGGAAGTCAGAAGAAATCTGCAAAAGGTACCATACATTCTTGAATCTGTTTTCATTAGTTTATTCAGCAAGTTGGCTTATGTTTCTCCCGGCTTGAATTGCAGAAGGAGAGGAAGCTCAAGGACTGCATGAAAAGTGAAAAATGCATACTGAAGAGATTCAGAACTTGCAGAGATGACAAAGACGATGATGATTCAGACCATGTTCTTTGCTTTTTCTCACAAGTGGACATGAAATTAGTATCTAGGGTTCTTAATATGTGTAGGCTAACTAGAGAGCAATTGGTTTGGTGCTATAACAAACTAAATAGGATTTCTTTTGTAAACAGAAAGATTCAGGTAGAGTCCTCTTTTTTGCTCTTCCCATGTTAACATTATACTTTTGACCACATATAATCATCATACTTCTATCTTTTGATGATTACATTCTATAACATAGAATATTACGGAGTATTTTGTAAGTTATTTATTTGCCTGAAATGTCTGAATATACTGACTTTTTCTGAACACGAAATTGATTGTAAATATCCTTTAACCCAAATAAGTAATGTCAAAAGCTGATTATTGTGCTCCATGCATAGAAATAAACCAAACCAAAATCTTAGCATTGTACTCCATCAAATTCTATTTATCTGTGAAGATTGATAAAAAAAAATGCATTGCAATGACAATGATAATTTAGCAAACACCGCATTAATGTGCTATTGAGAAAAGAGGTGAATTAAATAGTATGGGAACGATAAATTTGAAATATGTTAATATTATGTACTAATTAAAAGGAACAAGGGCAAAGGTCAATCTAGACGACTAGTCATGGACCCGGGCCGGGCCGGTTCCGGTTCCGGGCCGGGCCCGGCCGGGCTTTTTTTTTGGGAAGGAAGGCCCGGGACCGGCCCGGGTAGCCACCGGGTCCGGTCCGGGTCCGGGCCGGGCCGGGCCTCCGGTTCGGTTATAATTTTTTTTTTTTTTTTTTTTTGCTTTCCTAACCCCCCCACTCACCCCCACACCCCCCCAAACCCCCAAACCCCTCCTAACCATCAAGCCCAACTTGGCTAACCCCAAAAAAATTAAAAAAAATTAAAAAAAAATTAATTCGGCCCGGGCCCGGGCCCGACCCGGCCGGGCCGGTTCGCCAAATTCAAGGCCCGAGCCCGGACCCGGACACCCCACCGGGCCTAGGCCCGACCCGGACCCGGACCCGAGAACCGGGCCGGTTCCGGGCTCGCACAGTGGCGGGCCGGGCCGGTCCTGGGCCGGGCGGCCCGAACCGGGTCCATGCCTATAGACGACAAATCAATAGGAGCAGAGGGAGTTTTAGTTATCTATGGGGGGGGGGATAATCACCTAAGACAGGACTGCAAAACTACTTAATGAACACCAAAACTAAAAAGTAAATTCGTAAACCATGTGCAGTAAACAGCATCCAATCTTAAAGCCAAAAAACTTAAGCACGGATCCATACTAAAATTAATTTGTCACGCATTGCATTTCTTCAAGTGGCCCTTACATAAGCTTTTTTATGTGACTTGCGACTAAATAAAACTTATAAGTACAATGGACAGTATCCGCCCAACGCCATACGAGAGTCTAAATAATTCAATTGTGCCCTGCAGCCAGATTTGGGGGAAGCCAAGCAGATTAGGTGTCAACAGCCTCCCAATCCTTGGAACTTCAAATGCTCTAATTTAATGTTGGAGAACAGACAAAACTGAAGAATTGGTCACAGTTAAAAGTGTCTTGATCCTGTGATGATACAACTTGACACCAAACTGAAAAGCTGCATAAACAAACTCAAAGTTGTCAATGGCCAGGAAAGTTTAAAGCTGTGATTGGCACAGAAGTGTTAGGTAATACTAACAGATGATTAGCTGCTTTATATACAAACACATAAAAATATATTCCTTGTAGCTAATGGACAAAGGTTTTTTGTCCAAAAATATGATTATTACTGAGAAAAAGTAAAAAGCTGAGAGCTTAACTTATAGATATAGCTATTAAAATAAGAGCTTCTTTTGAGGTTCTATGCTACACACCAAATAGGACTGATTGCATTTTCGGAGCTTAGCATAAGCAATAAGATCCAAAATATGTGCTGCCAAACACACACAAACAAGCTTTATAGAGAATAAATGCACCACCAAGCACCAATCACAACACTGCTAGGAGAATAAGAATTCAGTTCAAATATGAATAATTCATAGGCTTTTAATTAGAGATCGGGTATAACTACATTACGGAGTATAAAAGATAAGAAATGTGTATCTACCCAATTTGTTGATGTCATTGTTTTATATTTTCTATACGGATGGGGTGGGGGGAAGAATCTTCTAGTCTTTCATGTTTAGCTGGAAGATGGACAACATGTACCACAATTTATTACCTGAATTAGAATTGACTGTAAAGTATCTTGAATATATAAGAGGAATTGAACCTCTAGTTGTTCCTAGTGGTTCAAATCTCTTCTGCCACTTCACTGTAAGCCTGCAGCAGTGACATTCGCATGTTTGCTATCTCTACAATAGTATCCACAGCTACAAAAGAGATGAAGCCGCATAAAAAAGGTATAAAAGAACATGATGGATATGACGGAAGTAAGTGGAATAAATATATAGGATGCGATTGATAGTTGATACTCAAACATTTTCACCACAATTAGCATTCCTAGTCTTATTTAGCGATAAAGGAGGAGGCTGAGCAAGAGGAGGTGTTGAGAACTACTCCATCTTTTTGTGTTACAGGTTTAAAAATAATAATAAGTGGAACATCAAGAAGCGAGGAAGATCGATCAATACAAAATTAAACAAAAAACACATATTGGCATATTGCAGCAATACTTATCCGGGAAACCCTTTGAACTTTCAAGTAGAGGACTTGGTATATCACCTGTCTCATATGAAAGTTGGGCAGCTCGAAGCTTTGGAGAAACCAGCATCCCAAACATAGACAGTGATTTGAGTCTTTCTCTCTTAGCCTAGAAAGCACACAATAAAAGTTAAAGGCTGATCCCATGTTCACTAATTTTACTTCAATGATTTAATATATATAAGTTGTGGTAATTGGTTCTTAGTTCTATTCGGTTCATTGTCCTTGATAATGAAAACTTGTAAGGCTCAGCAGACAATTTTTTTCCCTAAAACTGGAAATAGTTAAATGAGCCTTGCATCACATATTATAGAACAGGCAGTTAATGAGTAGTGAAGGAGGGGTAATTAGAACAAGTAGTTTTACCTTGTCATCAAGTGTGCATGGAGACCCGCTATCTTCCTGTTTCTTCCCTTGAGCTTCTGGAGTAGGGGAGACAAAGTTACTTTTTGAATGTTAAAACCAAAAAGATGCATCTGTAGTAGATTATCGAGATTATCTCTTTATAAATATCTCACACACTATCTTCAAGCAATTAGTGATTAAGACGGAATTAAATAATTAACAGAATTAGTAACTCCCCATTTTCAAAAAATTGTCGATTAACTAAAGGCATTCTGTTCACAGACATCTGGCCTTTAGCTAATTGAAAATGTAAAGCATGTCAACATGAACACACTTGTGTTACATATTTCTTTCGTTTTGGTTTGTCACTTTCAATACCAACATAAAATACAGGCATGCCCGACAATTTATGACAAAAAATATCACCTTAAAACCCACCCATTTTTCCTTGATGGACAATCATTTTGAAAAAGGGAAGTAATCAATACAATGCACATGTTACCGTGCAATGAGCCTTCCTTGTTGGATTTACTTTCGTTGGATGGACTTTCTGGCCCAGAAGAATCAGCCCACTTGCACAGCTTGAAGAACATGTGGTCCATTTTCGATCCTGCTATGAAAAAATACATCACCAATAACTAGTTGATCCTTTGCTTAAACCTAAACTATGAATTTCTAAGTGCATATTCCACGAGGGAAAGTGAGTATTTAACCTCCCGAAAGAATGACATCCACTACAGTTGTGGCAGAATGTGGTTTGAGGTCAAGCAATGTGCTATTGATGCGTGACACACCCATAGAAAGTCTAGCACTTGACAACTCCAGATTACCCTGCAATGATTGGATATATGATATATCCAATCCAAACACGTAATAAGAAAGAAGATATGGTCATGATTTAGGTGATTTCATTTACACTTCATAGCAGCATCACCTTTACGCCTACTTTAATCTCTTTATTTCATATAAACTACAAGTTCAGAAATAAAAATACGCTAGATGGTTATATAATTACACTCACACACGCAAGATTGTTATGCATCCAAATCAAATGAATCTAAGTCTAAAAATGTAAAAAATGAAAATGAATTGGAAGAAAAATCGGAACCTGGCGAAGTGTTGAAGATAAAGTGTCCATAAGAATGAGATAGCTATCCAATGAATCGAGAAATTGTAAAACTTTTGAATCTTTCTCGGAAACTCCATCTTCTCTGTTGGCTAAGATTTTTGTTTCTGCTTCTTCGACCTCCATGGTTGGCATCATGGCAATGCAAGTCTTATTGTATGCCTGTCAAAATCAGACGTTAACAAAAAAAAAACAGATTGGGCTAAATAGTGAGATTGACATCTTTTCATGGAAATGGTTATTGGAATTAATTTTTTTTATACAAATATTAGTAAAAAGTAGATAATGGACAAAAGATACTTTTGTTATTTCAAAAAATGTGTAATAAGTTTTAAACTTACTAAATTACTCTAGTGACCTGACTCAACGTAATGACCACTCCAGTGGTCACCGCTCCGCCCGTTTACCACCACCCATTGACCTAGTCAGCTCACCAAGTGACAACGGTGCACCATCCCAACTTTTCAGTGACCCGTCGCCCAGTGACCACAGATTACTAGCCACACCCAGTTACCAACCACTCCTAGTCATCAACCAGCCCAGTTACCCAAGGACCCATCCGCCCCCACCATCATGTTCCTGCCCCCACCAGTCCAACCCCTCCCCTATCATTGTCGCCACTTTGCACCCTATCCATCACTGCCAATCGGCACTCTATTTGCCGCCACCGATGCAGAGTCCCGACAAGCAACCAATTCACTAGAAAGAAACCAAGGGGTCTAAACATATCTATATAACCAGATTTTATTTTCCTTTAAAAAATCGAGCCTTTTAATAGCGTCCGAAAAAGTTGGGGGGAAATGTGGAGTTTGTATTATACTTGTCCTCATTTGGAAGCTCTCAATCACACTTACCTCACCAAATATGAAATTAAGAGGGACAAAAGCAACCAATTCCGGTTTAACAAAGAAATCATATACATCACGAATACAAAAATAAACAAAACTATAAAATTCAAATAAAATCACTATACTCCAAATAAACAATTTTAAATGAACAAACAATGTCATCATCCCACAACTCAATTTCATTGTTGGTGACATATATTTTATAAGCGGGATGATTGACATTGTTGGTTGTCATCATCATCACCCAATCAAAATATAAAATTCAACAAATAAACAATTTTAAATGAAATTACCAGAAAAAAATTAGGTTAAGGCATTAAGCGGCTTACGTGGAGTCTAGAGATGGGAGGACCGTCGCACCGGCCACCGGAAATTAAGCCGGAGATCAGAAGAAGGGCCGAACTGCTGTGAAGCCCTGTGATTCTCGACGGAAATCCATCTTCTTCCAATCGTCCCGTCGTCCGTGCCTCCGTGGTCACTCGCAGCCGGCAGCACTCGCCACTTGCTCCGTTCCCTGTCGCTGAGAGCCTGAGATGCTAGCTCGGGCTAAATCGCTAAAGTGCAGGGCCTTCACAGCTTCACTTAGATAAGGGTAGTTCTATTTACAGCCCCACTATTTCTATTCACGGTCACTTAAATTAAAAACAATTTTTAATATCCAATTTACCCCTGAACGCCGGCCTCGAATTTTCCTTACCTCTGTATCACCATTTTAAACACTTCTCGAGGATGGCGATGCAACTTCCAGACACATCGGCAAGGAATCGAGGATCAACTTCTTGATTGTTTGGGAATTGAGGTTAGAGTAGTTTGTGCTTCATCCAAAATGTTGAATTTTTCACATACATGAAAGTCTTCGACTAATATCCATTGGAAAAAACGTGTTTGTGGAGGTGGAGGTGTTTGCCTTGTTCGATAGTGTGTTGACTATTGAACAACAAAGAATTTTATAAGCTCGGAATAAATGATAGCATTGACCCAGATCTTCTATTTCTACCTCGCATCCAGGGCATTCATGGCAACAGGGAGATCCTTCTTGTGGCAGTATGCAACATGCTTCTCAATCAATGCATCAGATAACATATTTGATCCATAATTTGCATCAACAGTACATGAATCGGGCATTTTTGCAAAAGAAACTGCATGTAAGCATTGAAAGAGAGAACCTATATCTACTTCCGATGAGCCGCAGGTCGGAGGCCCATGATGCAAGCCGGAGATGATCCCTAGTCAGGTTTGCAGTAGCCGCTCCCAATTTCGTGGGAGCCTTCCCCATGGCAACCGTCGACCGTCACCAACAGGTGGAGCTTTCCCTGATGATGAAAGACTGGGAAGTTCGTATGCGTACAGAGGAGATAGAAGGGCAAAATAGATATTTAAAAAAGAAATATTATTAAACTTTAATTTTTATGGCTGTCATTAGCAATTCTGCGTGTGCGAATAGAATCACCCCTTGGATAATTGGGCTGTTATGGTCTGGGTGAGATGGGCTGAGACGGCCCAAGCGCACATCTACTGCTCCGCACGAGGTTAAGGGAGTTGGGTTTGGGCTGCAGGGCTCAATATAATAATTTTTTTTGGGAAGATCAATATAAAAAATGTTAATATTGTTGTAGGGAAGTGAGAGAGGTGTGTTCATTCCATTAGTAAGCCCCCTTTAAATAGGAGGGATTAGGGTTTTACAAGGAATGGGCCAATTAGCTCAATACATATAATCCCTAGATACACTTTCTATCTATAACGAATGCACATTAAAGTAATTTCTTCAACACTCCCCCTTGTTCTGAGTTGTAGATAGAATGATGCACACCAAGCTAGTTGTCGTGTAGGAACTTCGTCAAGTAACAAAAACCCTGTGGGAAAAATAAATCTTTACGAGAGACTAGAGTTTATTGGACTTCGTTCATTGAGTCCTTTTGGATTCTTTACCTTGATCGTTACTCACAGTTACCTCGTTAAAAACCCTTACCAAGTAACAAAAACCCAATGGGAGAAAAATAAAGCTTGGTTTAAGGAAAAGAGTATAACGTGAGGGTGTAAGACTCCCCCTAAAGTCTACACCTCCCCTTATATTTACATTAATCAAGGGATTTCAGAAAGCTTACACATTCCAATGTTTTTCACATGATTTTCGAATGTGGCCTTGGTCAATGACTTGGTAAACAAGTCTGCTACGTTTTCTTCCGAACTTATTTGATTTACTTGGATCTTGAGGAAGGCCTGTTGTTGCTGATTGTAGAAGAACTTAGGAGATATGTGTTTCGTATTGTCACCCTTGATGTATCCTAATTTCATTTGTTCGATACAGGCTGCATTATCTTCGTAGATGCAGGTTGGCTCTTCAGTGGTAGGCTTTAAGCCACTAGTTCCTCGAATGTGTGCAATGATAGCTCTTAACCATATACACTCACGGACCGCCTCATGTAGAGCAATGATCTCTGAGTGGTTCGAGGAGGTAGCCACAAGGGTTTGCTTAGTTGATCTCCAGGATATCATCGTGTTCCCGATTTTGAAAACATAGCCAGTTTGGGAACGGCCTTTGTGAGGGTCGGAGAGGTACCCAGCATCAGCAAAACCTACCAAGACATCATTTGGGGTTTTCAGGGGGTGACCGTTTTTTCCTTTGTGACCACAACTCCATTTGTGGTTTTCTTCGTCTCTCCGTAGGGAAAGAATAGTCCCAAGTCACTGGTCCCTTTAAGATATCTAAAGATATTCTTGATACCGTTCCAGTGACGCTGCGTAGGCGCAAAGCTAAATCTAGCTAACAAGTTCACTGAGAATGCTATATCGGGCCGAGTGCATTGTGCTAAGTACAATAATGCGCGTATTACACTTAGGTATGGAATTTCAGCTCCTAATGTCTCCTCTTCATCTTCCTTTGGACGAAATGGATCCTTTTTAGGATCTAGACTTCGGCCCACCATGGGAGTGCTAGCAGGGTGCGCTTTATCCATGTTAAATCGCCTGAGTACCTTTTGGATATACGCAGACTGGTGGATTAATACTCCACAAACTCGATGTTCTAATTCAAGACCTAGACAAAATCGAGTTTTCCCAAGGTCTTTCATCTCAAACTCGGATTTCAAATACCTTGCGGTTTCTCTTATTTCGTCAAGAGTGCCAATTATGTTCATGTCGTCGACATATACTGCTATGATTGCAAATCCGGAACTTGTTTTCTTTATGAATACGCAGGCGCAAAGCTCATCGTTCTTGTATCCCTTCCTAATCAAGTAGTCACTTAGGCGGGTATACCACATCCGCCCGGATTGTTTTAATCCGTAAAGTGAGCGTTTCAATTTTATTGCAAACGCACTCCGTGGTTTAGAGTCACTTGATTTAGGTAGTGAAAGTCCGTTGGGTACTTTCATATATATCTCTGAATCAAGATCCCCATAGAGATATGCAGTAACCACATCCATCAATTGCATTTCCAATCCTTCAGAAACTGCTAAGCTGACTAGGTATCAGAATGTGATAACGTCCATTACGGGAGAGTAGGTCTCCTCGTAGTCAATCCCAAGGCGTTGTGAGAAACCTTGTGCCACTAGGCGAGCCTTGTACCTTAAGACTTCATTCTTCTCATTACGCTTTCTGACAAATGCCCATTTATGTCCTACAGGCTTTACACTTGGTGGGGTTAGCACTACCGGACCAAATACCTGCCTTTTTGTCAGGGAATCTAATTCAACCTGGATTGCTTCTTTCCATTTAGGCCAGTCAGCTCTTTGTTGGCATTCTGTCACAGAGCGTGGTTCGATATCATCGTGCTCTATAATTTCTTGAGCAACTGTAAATGCAAATATATCATCGATGTGTATGTAAGATCTTTCCATTAGCACATGTGCATTTTCATAATCCATAGACATTTCCTTGTTTTCTTGAATCATCTCGATCATCAGAGCGTCCTCCAGTAATGATTCGTGGACATAACTATAATCGGAGATAATCTCATGGGATGGATGTTCTTCATCGATGATTAATGGATTAGGTTGAGCCGTACTCGACCTCTTCTTCCTTGGACGAGTATCAATCGAACCAAGTGGTCTTCCTCTCTTCCTTTGAGGACTTGTAACTCCCTTGGGGACTTCTAACCTTGCAGGCACATTGGAATGTGTGATCTTGTCACTTTTGCAATATCAGAAAATGCATCATGCATTGAGTCTGCTACATTTTGCAGGTTTATTATTCATGTGCGTGCCTTTTTCACAGTTCACGTTTAACATAGTTCACAACAAATATTACCTGCCATGTGTTCACACCAATTAAATTATTATTTTTCTCTTAACAAAATATGAAGAAAATTTATATATTTTCATTTTTTTAGAAAATTCAATCTCATTCCTGAAAAAAAAAAAAACTACAATTTTTCGGTAATCAACATACGTACAACACAATGTTTTTAAGATATATGCACACTAGGTTACTAATACATTATTAAATTCGTTTTTACACAACAAAAATTTTAATTCGGAATTTGGCTCCATTTATTTAAATTCGAAAAAAACAACGATAATTAAATTCATTTTTAACTTCATTTTGTTTATTATTAAAATATATGGCAAAATATTTTTTTTCAATAATTCGACAATATATTTTACTAAAAGAATTATTAAATTCGTTTTTTTCAAAAAAAATTGAGATATGCCTAATCCATTCATTAGACCAATATTAATACTTTCTACAAAAATCTCTATTTTTTTGAGATGAATATATCTCCTCTATCTTCGATGCATTACAAAATATTGTCTACAAAGAGACATATCCCATGTCATTTTTTATGTGATAAAGAATTTTCACACAAAGAATCGCATTTTTTTTCTTTTTTTATCGATATATGGTACGGTAGTGAATGACACTCATACAATTTTATATTTTAAAGATGACTGATCCAACTCGACCCGAGTTCGACATCCTGGACTCAGAAGGACTTGAGTACCATCGCTGGGTTTCTGACATAGAAACCACTTTTGTGGCTAAAGACTATTCCGCCACGCTTGCCGACCCTGAAAGTTTAAAAGACAATGCACCGTCTGAAAAAATAAAGGTTGCTGCGTTAATGTTCCTTAGACGCCATATTGACCCTAGCTTACGCTGGGAATACTTACAATTGAAAACCCCCAAAGAACTGTTGGACGCACTAAAAGGTCGTTTTGGGAACATACATGACACATTGCTCCCCGAACTAACAGTGCAGTGGAATGAAATCCGCTTAGTTGACTACAAAAAGATCAACGATTTTAATAAGGAAATGTTACGCCTCAAAGCACGCCTTAATTTCTGTGGTAAACCAATCACAGAAGATGAAATGATTGATCAGACCCTCTCCACTTTCCCTACCTCAGCACTTATACTAGCGAACCAGTATAGGTTGGAGCATAATAACAAAAGAATAACCACATTTAATCAGTTAATTAATTTGTTCCAAGTTGCTGAAAGACAAAATCAAGTTCTCTTGAATAACAATGCCATACCAGTTGGGACAAAGAAAATTCCCGAGGTCAACTATGGCAAAGCAAACACTAGAAAGCACCCTAGTGGAAGAGGAGAGGGCCGTACACGTGGAAGGGGGCGCAACAATCG